TCACCTGTGTTGGTAAGGGGGGGGGGGAGGGTTTGATGGTTTCACCTGGGGTTGTTTAGTGGGGGGGGGGGGGGAAAAAAGGGGGTCACCTGTGTTTTTGTAAGGTGGGGGGGGGGGTAGGGGTCCCCTTTTGTTGGGGTGATGGGGGGGGGGATGAGGGTCACCTGTGTTGTGTAAGGGGGGGGGGGGGGATGATGGGCCCAACCTGTGTTTTTTTAAGTGGGGGGGGGGGATGAGGGTACCTGGGGTTTGTTTTGTGGGGGGGGGAGATGGGTCCCCTTGTGTTTGTTTTGTGGGGGGGGGGATGAGGGGTCACCTGTGTTTGGGGAAAGTGGGGGGGGGGGGATGATGGGTCCCCTGTGTTGGGGAGGTGGGGGGGGGGGGGGATGAGGGGGTCCCCTGTGGTGGGGGGGGGAAAGGAAAGTTTTGGGGGGGGGGGATGAGGGGGTCACCTGGGGTTGGGGAGTGGGGGGGGGGATGAGGGGTTCCCCAAGTGTTTTTTTTGTGGGGGGGGGGATAAAGGGGTCACCTGTTTTGGGTGAGTGGGGGGGGGAGGGATGATGGGTCACCTGTTTGTGGGGGTTGGGGGGGGGGGGGAAGGGGTCCCTTTTTTGGGAGTGTGGGGGGAGGGATAGGGGTCCCGTGTTGTGAGTGGGGGGGTGGGGATGAGGGGTCACCTGTGTTTTTTTGGAGTTTTGGGGGGGGGGGAAATGATGGGTCACCTGTGTTGATTGTGGGGGGAAGGGTTGTTTGGGCCCACCTGTGTTGTGATTTGTGGGGGGGGATGAGGGGTCACCTGTGTTGTGTAAAGTGTGGGGGGGGGGGGATGGGGTCACCTGGGGTTTGAGTGGGGTTTGGGGGATGATGGGTTTCCACCTGTGTTGTGATGGGGGGGGGTTGAGGAAGTAAACCTGTGTTGTGAGTTTTGGGGGGGGAGGGATAAAGGGGCCCACCTGTTTTTTGTGAGTGGGGGGGAAGGGAGGGAGGGGGTCCCCTTTTTGTTGTAGTGTGGGGGGGGGGGGTGAGGGGTCACCTGTTTTGTGTTGGGGTGGGGGGGGTTTGGGGGGGGGGTGGGGGGGGGGGATGATGGGCCCACCTGGTTGTGGGTGTGGGGGGGGGGGGGGGGAGGGGGGGATGAGGGGTAACCTTTTGGGTTGTGATTTGTGGGGGGGGATATGGGTCACCTGTGTTGTGAGTTTTGGGGGGGTGATGGGAAAACCTTGTTTTGTGAGTGGGGGGGGGTTTGATGGGTAAACCTGTGTTTTTGAAGTGTGGGGGGGGGGGGGAATTTTTATGAGGGGGGGTAAAACCTTTTGTTGTAAGTGTGGGGGGGAGGGATAAAGGGGTCACCTGGGGTTTTTAAGTTGGGGGGGGGGGTTAAATGGGTCACCTTTTTTCCCAGCACAGGTTTCTTAAATAAGACTTATTGTGGTTTCTGGTGAATTTTTTTAGTTTTGTATTACGGGTGATTGTCATTAAGCTTGCTGCATTATTGTGTTGAGGTTGTAATTTTAGGAGTTTTATTTATAAGCCATTTTTTTGGCCTTTGTTTTTATTAAACCTTTTTTCCCTTTTTGAATTGTGATAAAGTTTAAAATTGTATATAGAAAAAACTGTTCGATTTGCCTGGGTTTTTTTGTTTTTTATATATTGTTTTATTTTGTTGTCCTTGTCCATAATTTTTTTTTTTTTTTAAAAAAAAAATTTTTAATAAAAAAATGTGGACTGTAAATTTATTTGGGGGGAGGGGGGGAACTATAAGTTTTAAAAATGGGTTTAGGGGACCTTTTTAAAATCTATGAACCCCTTTTTTTGTACTTGTGAAAAAAAAACCCCTACCCTTAATTTTTGTTTAAGTTAAAATTTTTAAAGGTTTTTTGTTAAAAATTTTTTTTTTAGTAGATTGTGTATTGATTGTTAAATTTCTCCTTTATCATTGTCAGGTTTTCATTTTTAAAAATATGTACCTATAAATATTTTTTTACATGAAATTTTTAAAAAAAAAAATATAAAAAAAAAAAAAAAAAAATTTTAAAAATTTCTGATTTTGGGGCAATTTGTTTCGATAATGGGAATTTTTTTTTGTTGTCGATAATCTCTCGTATACTTTTGTTTTCTTAATGTTTGTATGTTTTTAAAAAAAATTTTTAAAAAAAAAAAATTTTTTTCCCCCTAACACACCCTCAACACCCTACCACAAAAAACCCCATGATTTCAATCAAAAAGTTTTATTACTAATTTCCCCTTTCGGGACATCCTTCAAAAAATGAAAGGGAAACCTTTAAAAAAAAAAATATAATCATTTGATGTCCACAATAAAAACCCCCAAAACATATTACGTTAGATATAAAATTTTTCAAATTTTTAGGGAAAAAGGTTATGACATAATTTAAATCCAAAACCCGGTTACAATAACTGCCCTTATTAAAATATCTTTTCACCCCCATAAAAAATGTTTAAATTCAACAACTTTCACTCCCTTCCCAAAAAAAACACACTTTCCTTTGCAAATGTTTTCCCCCCAAGGGAGGGGTTTCCTTTACGGGGTGGGGGGGGTCTTTATCTAGGAATTGGATCTGTTTCTCCGGGTTTCCCGAATTGAGCCTGAGTTCCATCCTTTTTCCCCCTTAACCCCCCCCCCCCCGCGCGTTTTAATCCAAAAGGTTTTAGCGCCCCCCCCATGAATTTTAATAATAAAAAAAAATTGTTGTATCTTTGAAAGAGGATTTTCTAACATTAATAATCCCCCGGGTTTCCCCACATTTAGTCTCTTTTTTGGTGGTTTGGGTTTTTTTTAATTTTCTAATTTTACTTTTTTATTTCCTCTAGTTTTTTCCCTATCGGAGTATTTGAAATTTTTCATCCTTTAAATTAAAATTGTGTTGTAGGCGAATTTAAAGACATGGATAACGTCCCTTTTTTAAAATTTGTAGGGGGTCCTCAATGGAAGACACTGTAAAAAAAATTCTGGTAATGTTTAAAAAAAGGGGGACACAGTGGGGTTTTGGGTTTTCATCTTCGGTCAGGAAAAAAGGAAGAGGGGAAAAAAGGGGGGTTTGGGGGCGGATTTTCTTTACCTTGGGGGAACACCGCTTTTTAAATTTTAGGCCCCAAAATGATTTTACCTGTTTTTTTTCTTACCCCTTTGTTTTTCATTTGTTAGAAAGGGTTAAAAAGATCATTACCTACTTTTCCCGGTATTCCTTTTTCCCCCATTTTTAAGTGATTTCACCAAGATCATATTTGTCGAATGGTTTTTGAAGCAGTTTATACTACTTTTGGGGAGTTTCAAAATTTTTTTTGGGGTAAGTACATGAGTGGGAGGGGTTGGATTTGAGTGGGGCTTTTTAAATCAGAGCCCCTTTTTTCTTGGGTGGCATTGAAAATTGGATTGGGCAAATGTTTTGTTAAATGGGGGTGGGAATTTTTAAAGGAAACCCGCCTAGAAAGGGCCAACAGGGCCCCCTGCAAGGGGTTTCCTTTTTTATGTTCTTATGTTTTAATGCATTTTGTTTGTCCTACATTGCCCCCAAAAACCCCCGTTATGTGGTCCCGTATTGCGACAAATCAGGAGTGGGCCTGGGTTAAAAACCCATGCGCCCCCGGGGGGTGTAAAAAAATTGGGTTTTCCAGGTGGGCGGGGATCTTGCTTCTTAGAACCCTTTTCAAAAATTTTTTTTGGTTTCGAGTTTTTCGTGGGTTTTCGGGCTGTAAATTCCTTTTTCAATTGCTTTTAAAATGCCACCCTTTTTGGACGAGGGGTATATAAAATTGGGTTTTTTTTTTACTGGGGTTTGGGCCCCCCTGTTGTGCTTCCTCTCCATAGAATTTTTTAAAAGGGACATGAAAAAGGGGGGTTCCTTGTATTCTTGATGAACACAGGTTCCCCCGTTCCCCCGGTAAGGGGAAAAGTGCATGGGGATGTCATTCCCCCTTTTTTTTTTTAGTCCTTTTGGGGGGTAGAAAAATTTCTAAAAATTCCCTTTAATTATTATTATTATTATTAATTTTTATTATTATTATTTTTTATTATTAAATTTTTATTCTATTAAAAATTTTTTTTATGGGGGGGGGGGGGGGGGGGGGGTTTTAAAATTTTTTAAATTTTTTATTTTTAAATTTTTAATTTTTTTTTATTATTTTATTATTACTTTTATTTTTTTATTTTTTGTTATTAAATTAATTTTTTTAAAAATTTTTTTTTTTATTTTTTATTATTATTATTATTTTTTTATTATTATTTTTATTTTAATATTATTAATTTTTTTTATTTTTTTATTATTATTATTTTATTATTATTATTATTATTATTTTTCATTATTATTATCATTATTATTATTATCATTATTATTATTTATTATTTATTATTTTTATTATTATCATTTTATTATTTATTATTATTTATTATTATCATTTATTATTATTATTATCATTATTATCATTATTATTTTCATTTTTTATTATTATTATTATTATTTATATTTTTATTATTTTATTATTATTATTATTATTTTTTTTAAATTATTTTATTTTTATTATTATTATTATTATTTATTATTATTATTATTTTCATTTATTATTATTATTATTATTTTTATTATTATTATTATTTATTATTATTATTATTATTATTACATTATTATCTTTATTTTTTTATTATTATTATCATCATTTATTATTATTATTATTATTTATTATTATTATTATTATTATTATCATTTATTTTTAAATATTATTATTATCATTTATTATTATTATTATTATTATTTTATATTATTATTATTATCATTTATTTATTATTATTATTATTATTATATTATCATTATTATTATTATTATTATTATTATCATTTATTATTATTATTATTTTTTATTATTATATTATTATTATTATTTATTATTATTATTATTATTATTATTATTATTATTATTGTTATTTATTATCATTATTATTATTATTATTATTATTATTATTATTATTACTATTATTATTATAGGGTAATGCAAGGGTGGCTGTTCTACAGTGATCAATCGTTCTGGCGCACAGCACAGGCGGAAGCTCTTCTTACCTCTGTGCCCACTGTGAGTACACCCGAAGAATCAGTGATAATAGAAGGTAGATAGAGGTAAAAGGAAGAGGCAACAGAGTAAAAATATAGATAACTGATGAAGTGTTTGGGAAGGAAGGAAAGAGGAGAGAGATAGATACAAGTATTAGAAGGCTGACTTGCCTGTAATTTTAAAATAATAGCTTATATAGGTTTTTATAAGTAGTGGTATTGTATCCTTTACAACTAAGATACAATACCATATGTAATAATATTCTGAGCTTTACAGTATACTCCTTAGGAATCAGTGCAAACAGGTCGTCAGGACACTGTACATTGCTTGCAGGAATCAGTGCAAACAGGTCGACAGGACACTGTACATAGTTTGGGCAGGAATCAGTGCAAACAGGTCGTCAGGACACTGTACATTGCTTGCAGGAATCAGTGCAAACAGGTCGTCAGGACACTGTACATTGCTTGCAGGAATCAGTGCAAACAGGTCGTCAGGACACTGTACATTGCTTGCAGGAATCAGTGCAAACAGGTCGTCAGGACACTGTACATTGCTTGCAGGAATCAGTGCAAACAGGTCGACAGGACACTGTACATAGCTTGCAGGAATCAGTGCAAACAGGTCGTCAGGACACTGTACATTGCTTGCAGGAATCAGTGCAACAGGTCGTCAGGGACACTGTACATTGCTGCAGGAAACAGTGCAAACAGGTCGTCAGGACACTGTACATTGCTTGCGGAATCAGTGCAAACGGGGTCGTCAGGACACTGTACTTTTGTTGCAGGAATCATGCAAACAGGTCGACAGGACATGTAACATAGCTTGCGGGAATCAGTGCAAACAGGTCGTCAGGACACTGTACATTGCTTGCGGGAATCGTGAAAAACAGGTCGTCAGGACACTGTACATTGCTTGCAGAATCAGTGCAAACAGGTCGTCAGGACACTGTACATTGCTTGCAGGAATCAGGAAAAACAGGTCGTCAGGACACGTACTTTGGGCTTGCAGGAATCAGTGCAAACAGGTCGACAGGACACTGTACATAGCTTGCAGGAATCAGTGCAAACAGGTCGTCAGGACACTGTACATTGCTTGCACGAATCAGTGCAAACAGGTCGTCAGGACACTGTACATTGCTTGCAGGAATCAGTGCAAACAGGTCGTCAGGACACTGTACATTGCTTGCAGGAATCAGTGCAAACAGGTCGTCAGGACACTGTAAAATTGCTTGCAGGAATCAGTGCAAACAGGTCGTCAGGACACTGTACATTGCTTGCAGGAATCAGTGCAAACAGGTCGTCAGGACACTGTACATTGCTTGCAGGAATCAGTGCAAACAGGTCGTCAGGACACTGTACATTGCTTGCAGGAATCAGTGCAAACAGGTCGTCAGGACACTTTTACATTGCTTGCAGGAAATCAGTGCAACAGGTCGTCAGGACACTGTACTTTGTTTGCAGGAATCAGTGCAAACAGGTCGTCGGGACACTGTACATGCTTGCAGGAATCATTTGCAAACAGGTCGTCAGGCATGTACATTGCTTGCGGGAATCAGTGCAAACAGGTCGTCAGGACACTGTACATTGCATGCAGGAATCAGTGCAAACAGGTCGTCAGGACACTATACATTCCATACCACTGGCGGGATTTGAACCCGCGGTCAGAGAGTCTCAAAACTCCAGCTGGTCCAGTAGCTAACGCGACGGTCTGGAGTTTTGAGACTCTCTGACCGTGGGTTCAAATCCCGCCAGTGGTATGGTTTGTTTGCAATCGTGTTATTACGATTTCGTGAGTCACTATACATTGCTTGCAGGAATCAGTGCAAACAGGTCGTCAGGACACTATACATTGTTTGCTCTTAATCTGCCTAATTGTTTTAAGAACTATGGTTCTAGTACTGAATTTTTTAGTCCTCTGTTTCCTGTATTTACCCGAGTGTTATCGTATCGTCACACATTTCCCCTGCATAATATATTTGGTAGTTAATTGCAATATATGTAATCTATATATCAAATATTTTTCACAATAATTTGCTTAGTAATTGTTGAATATGCTCAGTATTCTTCCTCTGTAATATATGCTCAATAATAATTGAATACTAATTTTGATTTAATAATGATTGAATACTAATTATGATTTAATAACAATTGAATACTAATTATGATTTAATAATAATTGAATACTAATTATGAGTTAATAATAATTGAGCAATAATTATGATTTAATAATTGAATATTAATTATAATTTATTAATCACTGAATACTGATTTTGACTAAATAATAGTTGAATACTAATTATGATATAATAATTACTGAATGCTAATTACGATTTAATAATAATTGAATACTAATTATGATTTGTTTCATAAAAACATTTTCTGTATCATACAATAATAATATATTCAGTACACTGTTCCTCCAAGCTTCATTATCCTCTCCAATTCTTTCTTTATCTTTCTTGCCTTCTTCACTGTCTTCCATATATATTTTTATATTTCTCTTTATATTGCTTTCTTCTTTTTCCAACTCCTCTCTCTTTTCTGGCTCTCTATCCTCCATTTTTCTCTCATTTTCTTCTCCCAGTCTTATTTACCTTTTCTCTTTTCCTCTTTCTTCTCTTTCCTCTCCTTCTCCCTGCTCCTTCCTCTTCTCGACCTCCTCTCTCCTGTCCTAATCTTTCTCCCTCCTCGTTCTCCTTATCTCTCCTTGTCCCCCTTATCTCTCCTTGTCCCCCTTATCTCTCCTTATCCCCCTTATCTCTCCTTGTCCCCTTATCTCTCCTTGTCCCCCTTAATCTCTCCTTGTCTCCCTTATCTCTCCTTGCCCCCCTTTTTCTCTCCTTGCCCCCCTTATCTCTCCTTTTTCCCCCTTATCTCTCCTTGTCCCCCTTATCTCTCCTTGTCTCCCTTATCTCTCCTTATCCCCCTTAAATCTCTCCTTGTCCCCCTTATCCCCTCTTGTCCCCCTTATCTCTCTTGTCTCCCTTATCTCTCCTTTCCCCCTTATCTCTCCTTGTCCCCTTATCTCTCCTTATTCCCCTTATCTCTCTTGTCCCCTTATCTCTCCTTGTCCCCCTTATCTCTCCTTGTCTCCCTTATCTCTCCTTGTCCCCCTTATCTCTCCTTGTCCCCCTTATCTCTCCTTGCCCCCCTTATCTCTCCTTGCCCCCCTTATCTCTCCTTGTCTCCCTTATCTCTCCTTATCCCCCTTATTCCCCTTGTCCCCCTTATTCTCCTTGTCCCCTTATCTCTCCTTGTCCCCCTTTATCTCTCCTTGTCCCCTTATCTCTCCTTGTCCCCTTATCTCTCCTTGTCTCCCTTATCTCTCCTTGTCCCCCTTATCTCTCCTTGTCCCCTTTATCTCTCCTTGTCCCCCTTATCTCTCCTTGTCCTCCTTATCTCTCCTTGTCCTCCTTATCTCTCCTTGTCCTCCTTATCTCTCCTCGTCCTTGTTATCTCTCCTTGTCCCTTTATCTCCCCTTTTGTCCCCCTTATCTCTCCTTGTCCCCCTTATCTCTCCTTGTCCTCCTTATCTCTCCTTGTCCTCCTTATCTCTCCTTGTCCCCCTTATCTCTCCTTGTCCCCCTTATATCTCCTCGTCCTTGTTATCTCTTCTTGTCCTCCTTATCTCTCCTTGTCCTCCTTATCTCTCATCGTCCTTGTTATCTCTGCTTGTCCTCCTTATCTCTCCTTGTCCTCCTCCTGTTCCTTGTCATCGTACGGTTGATCAAGGTGTTGTGTACAGGGACGCTTGTTAGTGTTGGACCTGGCGTCAGAGGTCGCTCCACAATACTCACGTCTACAGTCTTACTTCGGCCAGCCCTTCATCTTCTGTATGTTGCATAACTTTGGCGGCGTCGATGGTCTCTTTGGCAATGTTGATGTCTTGCTCAAGGTGAGTTATACTGAACAATATTAACAACGATCCATCGAATGCCAAGCTGAAGGTGAAAAAATTCTGAGGTAATATTATGGTTTAAAACTTTGTCTTGTTGAATATGAGTGATTGTGAAGGATTGTTGGGATTTACTCAGCAGTATACCTTGCTAAAAGTGAAGGTGATGACATATGAGAGATGAGGTGAGCAAACCCTTTCAAGAATGAAGGAAGTGTCATGTATCTCGGTCTCACACTCGGATAACATGCTAAGTGTTCTTATTTCGTTATCCGGCACGAGTGTAACTGTATCTAGTAGCAAGTATTTGCCTGAGTATTAGTCGACTGTTGTGGGTGGCATCCTGGTGTGTGGAGATAGCATATATTAAGGCCGGACTTTGAAATTAGACGAAGTAGTATAAGAGCTCTTAGCCTCTAAAATTAATTTGTATAAACAAAAAGAAGGAAGGACAGTGAGTAGAGTGATAGAATATGATGGATGGAATCCTTGCAAACCTCTGGGAAATAAGCCGAGTGATAGCCAAGGAGTACGGAAGCCAGGGAGGCTGTCAGTTATCAAAAGTATGGGAGGCTGTCAGTTATCAAAAGTATGGTAGGCTGTCAGTTATCAAAAGTATGGGAGGCTGTCAGTTATCAAAAGTATGGGAGGGGGTGTCAGTTATCAAAAGTATGGGAGGCTGTCAGTTATCAAAAGTATGGGAGGCTGTCAGTTATCAAAAGTATGGGAGGCTGTCAGTTATCAAAAATATGGGAGGCTGTCAGTTATCAAAGTTATGGGAGGTGTCAGTTATCAAAAGTATGGTAGGCTGTCAGTTATCAAAAGTATGGGAGGCTGTCAGTTATCAAAAGTATGGGAGGCTGTCAGTTATCAAAAGTATGGGAGGCTGTCAGTTATCAAAAGTTGGGAGGCTGTTAGTTATCAAAAGTATGGGAGGCTGTTCAGTTATCAAAAGTATGGGAGGCTGTCAGTTATCAAAAGTATGGGAGGCTGTCAGTTATCAAAAGTATGGGAGGCTGTCAGTTATCAAAAGTATGGGAGGCTGTTAGTTATCAAAAGTATGGGAGGCTGTCAGTTATCAAAAATATGGGAGGCTTTTCAGTTATCAAAAGTATGGGAGGCTGTCAGTTATCAAAAGTATGGGAGCCTGTCAGTTATCAAAAGTATGGGAGGCTGTCAGTTATCAAAAGTATGGGAGGCTGTCAGTTATCAAAAGTATGGGAGGCTGTTAGTTATCAAAAGTATGGGAGGCTGTTAGTTATCAAAAGTATGGGAGGCTGTCAGTTATCAAAAGTATGGGAGGCTGTCAGTTATCAAAAGTATGGGGGCTGTCAGTTTTCAAAAAATTATGGGAGGCTGTCAGTTATCAAAGAATGGGAGGCTGTCGTTATCAAAAGTATGGGAAGCTGTCAGTTATCAAAAGTATGGGAGGCTGTCAGTTATCAAAAGTATGGGAGGCTGTCAGTTATCAAAAGTATGGGAGGCTGTCAGTTATCAAAAGTATGGGAGGCTGTCAGTTATCAAAAGTATGGGAGGCTGTCAGTTATCAAAAGAATGGGAGGCTGTCAGTTAAACAAAAGTATGGGAAAGCTGTCAGTTATCAAAAGTATGGGAGGCTGTCAGTTATCAAATGGGGGCGTCAGTTATTTAAAAGTATGGGAGGCTGTCAGTTATCAAAAGTATGGGAGGCTGTCAGTTATCAAAAGTATGGGAGGCTGTCAGTTATCAAAAGTATGGTAGGCTGTCAGTTATCAAAAGTATGGAACATTAACAGTGAAGAATCTGTTTTACAAATTACTTTGAAGTATAAACATCTGTAATAACAACTATGAACAGAGTTTTTAATTTTCACTAATTTTCAACAGTATTTCCTCTATAATTTTCCACACACAAAGGCCTTGAATTATGGTAGTTATTAAACCATACCCCCGGCCGGGATTGAACCCGCGGTCATAGAGTCTCAAAACTCCAGCCCGTCGCGTTAGCCACTAGACCAGCTAGCCACAATAAGATTCATCCAACTAGGTATATTTCTACACCATAGGAAGGTTAGCACAGGCACCTCTGTGACCACAAATGCAAGTTTTTACAGACGAATCTCCAGCTAGCGCGACGGGCTGGAGTTTTGAGACTCTATGACCGCGGGTTCAATCCCGGCCGGGGGTATGGTTTATTTGCAATCGTGTCATTACGATTTCTTAAGTTATGGTAGTTATTATTAGTAATTACTCACCATGATGGTAATTTTCCCATTTATGGGTGTAACCTGTTGGTGGCATTCTGTATTATTATTTGTATTAGGATTTTTACTAAATTTTTTGGTTGCTAATATTATCAGTTATATAACCGTAATAATAATATCATTATTATTATTATAATTATTAATTTTATTATTCTTTTTATTTGTATTATTATTCTTATTTTTATTAAGTTTTATGGTTTTTAATATTAACAATTATGTAACTATAATAGTAATATTATTATTTTTTATATTATTATTATTATTATTATTATTATTATTATTATTATTATTATTATTATTGTTATTATTGGCCTTAACTGCAACTTTTCCTGGTCAGAACTATGAAGATGCCAGGAACTTCCCCAATGTGACTATGGTCGGCACTGGTCTCACTCCGGAAGGAATCAATCAAAACTATGTCATGTATGACTTTATGAACGAGCTTGGGTGGAGGCCAGCCGCTCCTCAGGTCTCCTCTTGGTAAGTGCAGGTGATCATCTCTGATGTGGGGGCCAGCCGCTCCTCAGGTCTTTCCCCTTGGTAGTGCAGGTGATCATCTTGATGTGAGGTGGCCAGCCCCCTCCTCAGGTCTCCCCTTGGTAAGTGCAGGTGATCATCTCTGATGTGGGGGCCAGCCGCTCCTCAGGTCTCCTCTTGGTAAGTGCCCGGTGATCTCTCTGATGTGAGGTGGCCAGGGCCTCCTCAGGTCTCCTCTTGGTAAGTGCAGGTGATCATCTCTGATGTGTGGAGGCCAGCCGCTCCTCAGGTCTCCTCTTGGTAAGTGCAGGTGATCATCTCTGATGTGAGGTGGCCAGCCGCTCCTCAGGTCTCCTCTTGGTAAGTGCAGGTGATCATCTCTGACGTGAGGTGGCCAGCCGCTCCTCAGGTCTCCTCTTGGTAAGTGCAGGTGATCATCTCTGATGTGAGGTGGCCAGCCGCTCCTCAGGTCTCCTCTTGGTAAGTGCAGGTGATCATCTCTGATGTGAGGTGGCCAGCCGCTCCTCAGGTCTCCTCTTGGTAAGTGCAGGTGATCATCTCTGATTTTGAGGGCCAGCCGCTCCTCAGGTCTCCTCTTGGTAAGTGCAGGTGATCATCTCTGATGTGAGGTTTGGGCCCGCCGCTCCTCGGTTCCTCTTGGTAAGTGCAGGTGATCATCTCTGAGTGGAGGCCAGCCGCTCCTCAGGTCTCCTCTTGGTAAGTGCAGGTGATCATCTCTGATGTGAGGTGGCCAGCCGCTCCTCAGGTCTCCTCTTGGTAAGTGCAGGTGATCATCTCTGACGTGAGGTGGCCAGCCGCTCCTCAGGTCTCCTCTTGGTAAGTGCAGGTGAAACATCTCTGATGTGAGGTGGCCAGCCGTCCTCGGGGCTCCTCTTGGTAAGTTGCAGTGATCATCTCTGACGTGAGGTGGCCAGCCGCTCCTCAGGTCTCCTCTTGGTAAGTGCAGGTGATCATCTCTGATGTGAGGTGGCCAGCCGCTCCTCAGGTCTCCTCTTGGTAAGTGCAGGTGATCATCTCTGAGTGAGGTGGCCAGCCGCTCCCAGGTTCCCTTGGTAAGTGCAGGTGATCATCTCTGACGTGAGGGTGGCCAGCCGCTCCTCAGGTCTCCTCTTGGTAGGTGCAGGTGATCATCTCTGATGTGAGATGGCCAGCCGCTCCCCAGGTTCCTCTTGGGAAGTGCAGGTGATCATCTCCGAGTGAGGTGGCCAGCCTCCTCAGGGCTCCTCTTGGTAAGGTGCAGGTGATCATCTCTGATGTGAGGTGGCCAGCCGCTCTCAGGTCTCCTCTTTGGGAAATGCAGGTGATCATCCTGAGTGAGGTGGCCAGCCCCTCCTAGGTCTCCTCTTGGTAAGTGCAGGTGATCATCTCTGAGTGAGGTGGCCAGCCGCTCCTCAGGTCTCCTCTTGGTAAGTGCAGGTGATCATCTCTGATGTGAGGTGGCCAGCCGCTCCTCAGGTCTCCTCTTGGTAAGTGCAGGTGATCATCTCTGATGTGAGGTGGCCAGCCGCTCCTCAGGTCTCCTCTTGGTAAAATGCAGGTGATCATCTCCGATGTGAGGTGGCCAGCCGCTCCCAGGTTCCTCTTGGTAAGGGGCAGGTGATCATCTTGATGTGAGGGCCAGCCGCTCCCAGGTCCCTCTGTAAGTGCAGTGATCATCTCTGATGTGAGGTGGCCAGCCGCTCCTCAGGTTCTCTTGGTAAGTGCAGGGATCATCTCTGAGTGGGGGGCCAGCCGCTCTAGGTCTCCTCTTGGTAAGTGCAGGTGATCAAACTCTGAGTGAGGTGGCCAGCCGCTCCTCAGGTCTCCTCTTGGTAAGTGCAGGTGATCATCTCTGATGTGAGGTGGCCAGCCGCTCCTCAGGTCTCCTCTTGGTAAGTGCAGGTGATCATCTCTGACGTGAGGTGGCCAGCCGCTCCTCAGGTCTCCTCTTGGTAAGTGCAGGTGATCATCTTGATGTGAGGTGGCCAACCCCCTCCTCAGGTTTTCCTCTTGGTAAGTGCAGGTGATCATCTCTGACGTGAGGTGGCCAGCCGCTCCTCAGGTCTCCTCTTGGTAAGTGCAGGTGATCATCTCTGATGTGAGGTGGCCAACGCCGCTCTCAGGTTCCTCTTGGTAAGGGGAGGTGATATCTCTGATGTGAGGGGCCAGCCCTCTCAGGTCTCCTTTGTAAGTGCAAATATCATCTTGATTGAGCCTTTTTTTTGAAAGGCCGAAGGGGTCCAGCTCTAGAATAAGGTAACAATTTGATAGGAGAGGAAAACTCCAAAGGCCCTTGGTAGGTGCATTAATATTTTATAGTGAAAATAATGTTGAAGGGTAATACAGGTTCTTAAAAAGTGTATCAAGTTTGATCGAAGATAGCCAAAAAATCAAGACTCTTATTGAACAAGTGCCTCTTTCTTTAAGTGATACTGTTGAAAGGTGTTTCAGAAGTTGGAATCACAAAGTATCATCGACAAATTATCTTCTTAACACAAGTATGTGACTAAGCAAAATGAAAAGCAAAGAATTAATAAGAAGTACGATACAGCATTTTAAAATATTTGATATAAAAAAAGCAAGTTTGGGGTAGATACGTGTTGGGTTATGTAATTGACGAACTTTAAAAGAGTTCAAAGGGAATCGCATGTAGCTGAATTTAAAAGTAAAATTTTTCATCAAATGCATCAGAAATTCTATGTTGAATTTTTTCATTTACAATTTTTTTAAAATTTCATAAAATTAATTTCCATTAATGTATTTTGGTTCGTGGATCCCTCGTCCTTGCCAAATGGCTAAGTGGGGTGGAAGGGTTGGTGTGGGTGAGGGTATTGAAAGGGGGTTATTTTGTGAGAGGCTGCTGTGAGGATGGTATTTGTATTGGGGAACTGTGGACTGTGGGTCTGTAGTATGGTTTGTTTTGGGTTATGGTGCTTGGTTGTTAGGGGGGGGGGTGAAGACTAGGGGTTGAGGGAGTTTTGTCGGTGGCTGCACTTGGTGATACTCCAGAGGCTGAGCCTGTCGATGGATGCCCTGCCTCTCCTTCTTTGCTTTGGCATCTTTCGTGTTCCCCATCCTTTCGTGTTCTGTCAAGGTCGTGGTACACCTGGCGACATTTTTCTGTTTCCTTCAACCGTTTGGTGCAGGATATTGTCTTGCACCATCTACTTTGAGGCTTTTTTTTTCTCTCGAGTACCTCCCAAGTCTGAAAATTTGCCACCTGGGATATACCCTCCCCACCTGCTGTTGTGATGATATTGTCAATCTCCATTTCCTTTGCCTGTAGTATTTTCTCATAAGTCCTTCCTACAGCCTCCTGAAGCCCATGAAGAATCTTTCCAAGTCCTCTCCTTCCGTATCTCTGTATCCAATTCCCCTCGTCAACTCCTGCACCTCCCGGTTGTCTGATAGCATTTCCCCAAACTTTATCTTAACTTCTCCCCATCCTTCAAGCCCCTAGCCTACCGTTGCAGTTCTTGCTCCTATCTCATTGCCCCTTTCCTTCCTCAGCTCCATTTCCAGCTCTAGTGCCTTCAGTTCCTCCTCCAAGCTCTGTACTTTTGCCTCAGTAGCCACAGTTTCTCTCCCATTCCTTGATTCCTGTAGTCACCTTCTCCTCCAGCTTTTTGAAAAAACTCAATGAACCTTTTTTTTCCACCCTTTTACCATCATACATCTAAACCCTGCTTCCCACTCTTCCTTCTCAGATCATTCTTTCTCAGCTCCCCTGCCACTTCGTCCTAGCTTTTCGGATCCTATTTGTGTGGTTCTCTGGCTTTCTGGTTAGAATACGCTTCCTGCCTCTTTTTGAGCATAGAATGCACTAGCTTCCTCGGATTGCAACTGGCAGAAAGCCTTCAGCTCTTGCGCTTTCTGTGTATAGGGAGTTGGGTATGATTGAGTATAAAAGTGTGCATGTATGTACTCACCTAGCTGTGGTTACAGGGGTCGAGTCACAGCTCCTGGCCCCGCCTTTACACTGGTTGCCACTTGGTCACACTTCTTGCTCCATGAGTTTTATCATACCTCTTCTTAAAGCTATGTATGGATCCTGCCTTCACTACATCACTTCCCAGACTATCCCACTTCCTAGCAACTCTTTGACTGAAGAAATACTTCCTAGCATCCCTTTGGCTCATGTGAGTCTTCAACTTCCAATTGTGACCCCTTGTTGTTGTGTCCCATCTCTGGAACATCCTGTCTCTGTCCACTTTGTCAATTCCTCTTGGTATTTTATATGTTTCTGTTATATCCTGTCCTCCAGTGCCATAGGTTTCCCTTAGTCTCTCCTCGTTGGACATGCCCCTTAGATCTGGAACTAGTCTTGTTGCTTGTGTTTGCTTGTACTCACCTAATTGTACTCACCTAATTGTGGTTGCAGGGGTATATGTGTGTGTGTGTGTACTCACCTATTTGTGGTTGCAGGGGTCGAGACTCAGCTCCTGGCCCCGCCTCTTCACTGTGTGTATGTGTGTTGGTGTGTATGTGTGTGTGTGTACTCACCTAATTGTGGTTGCAGGGGTCGATTCATTGCCCCTGGCCCCGCCTCTTCACTGGTCGCTACTAGGCCACTCTCTCCCCGCCCCATAAACTTTATCATATCTCTTCTTAAAGTTATGTTTGGTACCTGCCTCCACTACGTCACTTTCCAGACTGCTCCACTTCCTGACAACTCTTTGACAAGAAATGCTTCCTAACGTCCCTATGATTCATCTGAGTCTTCAACTCCCCACACTTATGTGACTCAGGCAGATTGTAAATCGCTTCAAGGAATTGTTCACTACCCTAACACACTTAGCAACCCTTGCAAAACACTTGGGTAGCCCTCAAAAACACTTACATTCACGGAGCACGGAAGGCTGTTCCACTTCATGACGACTCAATGACTGAAGAAATACTTCCTAAAATCCCTCTGACTCGTCTGAGTCTTCAGCTTTCAATTATGACCCCTTGTTTCTGTGTCCTCTCTCTGGAACAGCCTGTCTCTGTCCACCTTATCTATT